GACAGAGAGAGAAAGAGAGAGAGAGAAATAGAACATAGAAACAGGAAATATTTATAACTGAAAACTCAGAATAATATACTCGCACGTATGTCACGTAATTATTGTTGTCAGTCTATCAATAACATGCGCCGTAAGTTTAGTCTAATAATAATGACATAATGTTATCGTTTGATGTACAGTTCTTTTCAGTTGTTTCTTTTCTTCTTTACTTTAACTTATCTCTTTGTATACTTTGATTAATCCTATCTAACTTCGACTTATTTCATCCATTCAACTAATGTAAGCATCTTGATTACTTTACAATAATGACATAACATAGAAGTATGTTGCACAACACATTATTGCCGATTTTAGATGTCTACAGATTTTATATATATATCAACTGCTTTGATCTTTGGTAAGTTGTTCATTTCATTGAAAAGAAAAAGAAAAACACAAAAATATATTGATAGTCTCAATCTTAACAACAATGTTCATCAACGTCATTTATTCATTTTGTTTATTTTTCTCGCTTTTTTTTCTTTTGTTATCGAAAAGATTCTTGGATTTGATTGTTTTAATAAAAGATGACAGCCTAGTTTATTTTTTCCAGTCACACATTATTATTTTTATTACAGTTAATTAAGATTGTAACCTGTATTAGATGAGATAATCAACTTATTGAGTCAAATTTATTTTTATTATTATTTCAGTAAGAGTTATAATGTTTCTTTATAAGTAATATATGTAACATTATTGTATTCACTCTGGGACTTGAACCAGGTACAGTTCGCTTCAAACACCATTGAGTTAGTTACTGAGTCCTTTTAGCCAATTGCTTGTGTAACAGGATGAAGTTTAAATTCACTTGGTGTTGTTTACTTGTATCTTCTCATTGTTATTTAGAACTGAAATTGATCAGTTTCTTGTTGGCATATGTGCATCATGTGCGGACTGTCTCGATATTGCCTTAAATCATAAGCTTTACAAGCAAAGTTGGATAGTGGCTAGCAGTGTGATCCAGGACGCAGTTTTCATGCTGCAGAAGCAGGTGGCTATCAGGACTCAGTAGCTACTACTACTACTACTACTACTACTACTACTACTACTACTACTACTACTACTACTAGTAATAGTAGTAGTAGTAGTAGTAGTATGATCTTACTATTGAAATAAATGCTGAATCCTAGCACTAGGATTTTTCCCAAGATATATGTTACCTTTATTTTTTGAAATGATATAGTGTTACTGCTGTTGATTATTGAATCTTTCATACAGCTTCACTTGATCATTTCCATTAGAAGGATTCCATGAATGGTGAAATTTCAGTAAAGACATAATATATAGATGAGCGAAATAAACAGGGGGTATTTTCGAGTTTATTGTAGGAAATTTAAAGATAATTACGTGGTAGAAATACTTCTGTATAATGTTCATAATGTTTAAAACCATTAGAAAAGAAGTTGCTTTTTATCTTCATATCTTAAAAATGGGGATATTAAACATATCAAATGTTAACTGTTGTGAAACAGATCGTTTGCTACATCGTACGGGAATCAATAATTTCTTAGTTCTGTTTAGTTTGTATGTAATAATAACTGGTAATATACCTAGAAAAGCCAATGAACTTTCTAAAACTTACTAGATTTTAACAAGTCTCATGAATTAGGGAAATGTAAACATCTTATATATAGAGTTTTTATCATATATGTATAAACGATGTGTAAAAATAGGGTTTCGTTACTAATTAAGAATAAATGAGAATGGAAAATAAGCGATTGAATGGGTTTCTGAAAGATACTAAACAGTATGAAAGAAAGAGAGTATTAGGAGCTGATGAATAAAAGTCTAAATAGAAATCTTGACTAATTCTTTTTTTTAATTTTCCATGTACTTGCTAATGATTAGCTTCTAAATACAGTTCTCAGAACTTCTAATAAGAAATTGAGACCAGTGAAGTTGAACTATGTTAAGTGTGAGATAGATGATTGTCTAATATTGGAGTTAGACATGTATACCATTGGATAGCAAGCCCAGTGATTTATATAAGACTGAACGTCCTGAGTTTGACTCCACGTGGTGAGGGTTGCGACTGCACTGGTGCTAGGTTTAAAGCTATCACGAGTTCACTCAATCTTTGAACGAGAACAAGACTCGGTGACCAAAGACCAGTAAGCTAGCTATTGATGAGTCCCAGCCCCACTAACTAGAGGGAGAAGTTCAAACTTGAATGGGAAGTATATTCTGCAAAACAGCCAGAAACCAACGATCCCAACAAACACAATTCAAAACGAATATATACAGTGCAAAACAGTCCTTGGGGAGAGTTACCAAATAGCATACTAAAAGACGCAACGGACCAATAGCATTTAAGATATTTCCTGGTGGGAAATACGATATGAAGATGACAAGAGTGCCTTTGGCGCAAAAACAAAGAAATTCAAATTTTCTAAATAAAATTACAAAATTAGGTCTTTTCCTAATTAAGTTCTGAGAATCTAACTTCCCGACAACTGGTCAGGAGTCTCATATTACAATGAAATAGATGTGCAATACTTTATGGTTTTCAGTGGTAGTCAAATTAAGATTGAGTCGTGATTCAAACGATGAAAATTCTACAATCTCTACAAATCCTCCTATACTAATGAAATCATATAAATAACGAATTGTTTACCATTTTCTTTGTTTGTTTATTCTCAATTTAAAGTGTTTTTGCTTTGGTTATTTTATTGTTTATTCGTTTATCATAAAAGAAATTAAATTCACTCAGGACAAATATTGATTTATGTTTTTTATACTCTTTTCTTTAAAGCAAGGATAGGCTGTCGATTGTTTTCTTCCCACTTTGAATATGTAAAGAGTGTAAAACACTTTAGAGAGAGAGAAAGAGAGAGAGTATTAACTACACTGAATTATTCTATGCCTATGTGTTGATAAACTTGTGTTCTATATTTTGGATAAATGTTCTCATTTTGTTTTCAAATATGTCAAATATTATCAGTTAGTGTTACTTCAAAGTTGTGTATGTAGATAGATGAGTGTAACACAGTCTGTCTCGTAGCATAAATGTAACGTAGCCAGCAATGGAATCCAGGACTCCAATTTCGTTCCATTTTTTGACTTGTTGGCTGAATGTGCAATTCACTTTATATTCTCATTGACAAGAATCAACTATACATATATAAACAATGGAGAAGATTTTGTAAATGTTCTATTCTTTATCCTGAATGGGTTTAATTGTGAAGTTTTCATTATTCTTTCAGACCAGTCACAGAGACCGTCATCAAAACCTATTAAGGGTTCAGATGTGAAATAAGTAACTAGTTTACTCTTATTTGAAGCAGGTAATCGGCGGTGACGTTGTCTAGAAAGATAATTTAGGTTTTACAATTAAACCGTTTAGCTCAGCTTACATAACAACTCTAAAATATGTAAATATTGTTTAAGTGGGATTAAATTATGTGTAGAATAAAGGTTAAAAAAGTTTTGCAGTTATATTAATCAAATTCAAACCAATGATGGGAAGAATGAAAACTGGCTTTATCTACTTTGGTTTCAGTGATCAGGTAATATTATAAGCCTTTTCATATAAATGTGAACAGAATACAAAAGGCGGGAACTATGAAATGAAGCTTATCTGTGATCTTAATCGACAGAATTCGATCGGCATTAAAGGAACTAGATAAACCTGATATTGTTTAGTACTCAGTGATCATGTGGTATAACTATTTCAGCCATGGTCTGAATGTCTCAGTAGCAGTCTCAGATGATAAATTTAGGAGACCTGGTTACAAATCCTGCGTCAGTCTCCTCAAGAATACTGATACCACTTGCTGATGAGTTTCAACTGGTACGAAACCCAAACAGAACAAGTTTTCCTACTGACAACATTTAATCACACTCAAATTTTTAACAATTAATTAATTAACCCAAATAAACTGCAATATTTACCTTGAACTAACACGTTGAAGTTGAATTTACGAAGACTTTTATGTGATGTATACATTAATTCTATTTGAATCGAAAATACTTAATATATAATCAACTCATGTTACGGCACATAATATGTGAATTCGGTAAATTTATTGATCAGACATTAACACTGTTGGATGTCGGCTCAGTAGTTTAGGGGTTAAGCGTTCACATGTGAGACCGAAAGTTATGAGTTGGAGTCCCTTTAATGAGGGGATCGTGGATGTGCACTGGTGAGGAGTCTCATACTAGGACGAAACGACTGTCCAAGTCTTCCAGATTTTCAGTGGTGGTCTAGCTTAACTCGACTCATGAATTCAACGATTAAAATTATTACGATCTCCACAAATCCCCATTCTGATAATAATTTAATTAAGGTAGATCTCAATGATTCTGTTATAAGATGGAGGGTAAATGACTTATAGTTATGTAGACACATGTACTCAACCGCACAAACAAATACGGACAAACATGTAGCTAAACAAATAATACACATAAAATACATTGATCAATTGCAGTCCTAGACATCAATGGGAAGATTCAAACAAACAATACCCAGTGAATTTAAACTTCACCCCATTGCAAAAGCAAGTGTCTGTCAGGACTCAGTAGCTAAGTGGATAGTGTGATGGCGTTTGAAGCGGACGGTATCGGGTTCCAGTCCCAGAGTGAACATCAACCCTGAGATTCAGGTACATCCAGTTGACGAGTCCCAAATAGGACGAAACGCGTATCCTTGATTCCACTGCTAACCACTATCTATCTTTGCTTATAAAGCTTGTGAATTAAAGCAAAATCGAAGCAATACGCACAGTATGCACATATGCCGACATGAGGCTGATCAATTTCAGTTCTAGACATCAAAGGGAATATTCAAACAAACAATAACAAATGAACTTAAAATAGAATATTTTACAATCATTTTGTACAAAATTCAAACACAGTCAATCATTACGATCTGTTTTATGCACCATCAGTATTTCTTCTCTAAATTATTTGATTGTTGGCTTTTATCCGTTCTTCATTTTTCTTTCTTTAAAGTGCATAAAATGTTGGCAATGTTGATGATGATGATGATGATGATGATGATGATGATGATGATGATGATGATGATGATGATGATGATGATGATGATGATGATGATGATGATGATGATGATGATGATGATGATGATGATGATGATGATGATGATGATGATGATGATGATGATGATGATGATGATGATGATGATGATGATGATGATGATGATGATGATGATGATGATGATGATGATGATGATGATGATGATGATGATGATGATGATGATGATGATGATGATGATGATGATGATGATGATGATGATGATGATGATGATGATGATGATGATGATGATGATGATGATGATGATGATGATGATGATGATGATGATGATGATGATGATGATGATGATGATGATGATGATGATGATGATGATGATGATGATGATGATGATGATGATGATGATGATGATGATGATGATGATGATGATGATGATGATGATGATGATGATGATGATGATGATGATGATGATGATGATGATGATGATGATGATAATGGTGATGATGAGTGAGAGGATGAAATAGGAACGATTGGTTTATTTCCTCTTCAACTGTTCATTTCATCTTTATTCTTACATATACACACATGTGCACATACATGTACTTCTAACTTATCTTTAATCTTTGGTTTAGTCAAAAATTAAGCTATAGTTTGAACAATAGAATAAATTAGTAACATATATAACAAAGGAAAATGCGTCAGGAAAAAAACACATCATAGAACAAGACAATCAAGTAGCACGTTCGAACAACATTAACACCACCAATGTCATTGCCACTTAGATTGTTATTTGCATTGAATGTGTTACTTCACATTAATCCCCTTGTTATTATTATTATTACGATTTTTCATAATCTACTCTATGTGTATGTGTGTGTGTGTGTTGATCACTCCATGTATGTGTATTGTCTCGTTACTATTTTTATTCTGTTCACAGAAGAGATTAATATGAAATGACATAGACTAAACCATCATTATTATCTTTATCATCATGAAAATAAATGATATTGTATACATTTTGTCAATAAATAACTTAATTGTTACATTTTTTTCAATTAAGTAGTCAGGACTTCATTATGTGATTATTCATTCTCATATGTTATTTCATCTATCATTTTTGTTACATGAATAGTTGTCTTTACTTTCTATTGATTTAGTTCAATAGAGAAGGTACGAATATGAATGTTCTCCTCTTAGTAATAAGAACAAATATAAGGTAGGTGGATGGGGTAGGACATTGGATATCAAATCAATCTTCTTAAAGTAATATACTCATTGCAAGACCGAACAATCTCTTTTATATCAGTTGTTTGAATCTTCCTATTGATGTTTAGGATTGAAATTGGCATTTATGTATCTTGGGTGATTTGCCTCAATTTTATCATTAGTTCAAAGAGATTATAAACAAAGGTGAATGGTAGCTAACAGCGGGATCTAGGATGTATTTTTGGTTTTACTTGTGACTTGTCACTTGGATGTAATTGAATCCGAACTGATATTCATGCTCGTACTCAAACCCAGTGCTTTTCGCTTTAAATACCATCGCATTATGCAGTTAGCTAATAAGTCCAGTCCTAAGCGCAAATGGGAAAATTCAAACAATCAAGAATATGAATTAAAATCCACCCTATTGCATAGGATGGTGATTATCTGAACTCAGTAGTTGAATGGATGATGCGTTGGCGTTTGAAATGCGAGGCACAAAGTTCGAATGTTTCAGTAGACATCAACTCTGAATGCAGATATGTCTAACTGGTGTGTCCTGAATAGGATGAAATACGCGTTCTTGATTCCATTCCTAGTCACCATCCATCTCTGCTTAAAGAGACCTAGCAGTGTTAAGGATATTTATAGCTACTGAAAAGTTCTATGCGAAAAAACGTAATAATTATCCAGTGTCTCTTGGCTTTCAAAAATCCTTAGACTAAAGTTATGTAGACTATCTTTAAATGGAATATTTACTGTAAACTTTTGATTTAAGACAAATTACACTCACTTTGATGGTAAATATTTCGAATTAGACAGCTGGAAACCCTTCTGACCACTCGTCATCAAGGAATAGCTGTAATTTGGGGACACGGGTGTTCCCTGTGAGATAACTCAACATTCACAGATTATATAATCTCTGATCTAAGATTTAATGAGACTATTATTTTTTTCATCTGAAAGATGATTTCCATCATACGTTGACACCAGGTAACAAATCACTGAAGGTAAATGAAGACTCGCAATTCGATTCTCCCTGTTATAAAATCTCTTCTTAATGCTTACCCAGGGATAAAGCATGGAATACTCATATATTGTAGCAGACATATAATTTGGGTTAAAATCCTACACTTAACATTTATAACATATCAATTCATGATATACCAGTCAATAATCGAATACTACTGATTGGTTCATGTGTAATTCCTGATGAGGTTAGAATTTGGTTAATCATGGATTTTCGCTATTTGTTCGCCTGTATTTCATTATTTATACCGAATCTTATCACGTTATTGCGTAATAGTCCTAATTTAAATGTACATAACCGTTGAGAGTAACTTAGGAGGGAACTAATGATAACTAACGCAGATTGGGACATTGTAACTGAATCATTGCATATCAGGACTATATTTTAGTCACTCAACGATAGATGTGCTTGCCGATAAAGTCTGGGTCTCATTAAAACTATGAACTGAATCACATTTCAAACTATTTTGAAGCAAATGAACAAGAGTTTTATTTCACCAGATATAAACAAAACAGTAAATTAAATCATGAATTAGCTCCTAGTTTAATTACGTTTAATTTATATCAGATGGGTTTTGTAGATATTATAGTAATTTCAGTGGTTAAAGATCATGAGTCAAATGAAGCTAGATCACCATGGAAAACCCGGGAGTATTTCGTCCTATCATGGGACTCCTCAGTAGCGCGCGTCCGCGACCTCGCTCCCTGCGAGATTCGAACCCAGGACCCACTGGTTTCGCGCGCGAGCACTTAACCACTAAACCACTGGGCCGGCATCCAACGGTGGATACACATCAAGATCATCACGGGATTGAGTCGAGTTTGAACTTAAGTTAGATAGCAACACCATTTTATAAAATTACACTGAGTTGAAATGTAATCAATGTATTTTCTATCTTGTATAGATTTCAGAAGATGAAATAGAAAAGTTTTGATGATTACACTGATGTAATGTAATTGAAGGATATTTGAATATCCGATTACCTTTTTTTCCTCTTTATGTTGTTTACGTATAAAAAATAATATCTCTCTGTAAGAAATTTATGATAATGTTTATTTACTTTTTCCGAAAGAAATTAAAATGTTATTGATATCACTCATTGATCTAAGCTAGACAACTATTGAAAACCAGTAAGTACTGGGCAACTGATATTCAGTCTTAGCATGGAATTCATCAGAAGCGTGCATCAATGAACCCACTATGAAGCTCGAACCTAGGACCTTCGGTATCACGCGCTAACTCCTAACTTCATTAGTGACTCATTTTGAGAGGTAACTCATGAATTCTAATGAAGTCCTATGATCAGTGAAGTTCAGCTATATGGAGAGTGAAGGGGGTAGTTTGTGATGGATGATGTTTACTTAATATCGCGAATTAACTGAAATTACAATATGAACCACTAGATATCGTTTCATTGTTTCGAAGATTAAACACTTGAAAGATTTAAAAGCCTGGGGTTCTATCCATAGTGATTTAGTGGATGCACACTGCCAGTTAGAAGTCTCATACTAGGACCAACCATCTATTCAGTAGTCCCTTATTTTCAATGGCTGTCTAACTTGGGTTGATTCATGATGTCAAAAACTTTCAGTACCCTACACAAACCCGCTATTACTGAGAAACTGGAATAGTTTTTTTATACCTAAAAGTTTAATATATATATCTAATTAAATTTGTAGTGAATAAAACGTCAACTGTCAACCAACAAAAAGGTCAGAATTTTCAACACAAATGTCAAGATAGTTCTGATGTATGGGGCGGAAACCTGGAGAACTACAAAAGTCATCATCCAGAAAATACAGGTGTTTATGAACATTTGTCGACGCAAAATACTTAGGATTCGTTGGTCAGACACTATTAGGAACAACCAATTGTGGGAAAGAACAAACCAGACCCCAGTGGAGGAAGAAATGAGGAAGAATTGCTGGAAGTGGATAGGACACACATTGAGGAAAGCATCTAACTATGTCACAAGACAAGCCCTCACATGGAATCCGCAAGGCTAAAATAGAAGAGTAAGATCAACGAACACAATACGTCGAGAAATGGAGACAGATATGAGAAGAATGAACAACAATTGGATAGAACTCGAAAGGAAGTCCCGGGACAGAGTGAGTTGGAGAATACTGATCAGCAGCCTATGCTCCATTAGGAGTAACAGGGGTAATTAAGTAAGTAAGTATGAATAAAACGTCAAAAACAATTTTTCAATATTTCCAATGAGATCTATTTTTTATATTTTACTACATCAAGATTGAATATTCAATGAAAATAATACATATTTAGACGAGGTATTTTTTTCTCTGCAAAAAATCTTTCCATCCTGACAACTGTGATAATTTAAGATTAAACGGATTTCCAGCTTTAGTATCTAAATTCCTGTTGTTAATGTATGCAAACTAGAGCTGTTTTTTTTTTACTTTTCAAGAAAATGGTTCTTTCTTTTCGTTTTACTTAGTTTGAAATGCTAACCCTACGTTTATTCTCTCCTCTATTCTATCTAGGCTTTGAATTGGTAGTAATAAACTTTTAAAAAAACAACTCTAGACAATGTTGAACTGGTAAGATAGTAAAAGAATAATTCAACTTCATTGTAAATCCATTAGTTAGTAACTATACTTCATTGTTTGTTTGTTTTGAATATGAGATATATTTGATTGTTTGTATCAGTTATAATTTAATTACATATCATGATCGACACACACACATACATAGGTACTATGTAAATCCTAATATCAATAAGAGTTAGACAATAATAGAATTTGATGGATTAGTTATCAGTGAACTAAGTGGAAGTTAAAACTAATAGATTTTTCTTCTAAAATCTTGAATGATTACTTCCTTCATTTTCACATTAATGAACCTGTCAAAAATAAACAATTGCATTTATATCAGAAGGGGTTTTGTGGAGATTTTAGTAATTTCAACAGTTGAAATCATGCGTCAATTGAAGCTAGACCGCTATGAAAAACCTGGAAGCACTGTACGGCCGTTTCGTTCTTGTATGGGACTTCTCACCAGTGTGTATTTCCTGGAGTTCTAGTGAGAAGTAGTGACCAGTGGAGTTTAATCAAGTTTGTTGTGAGATATCAGCTCACTGAACACAATAGTGCACAGTAGCACATTTTCGTGGATTGGTTGAAGTTAGACATTAACACTATTGGATGCCGGTCATCTCAGTGGTCTAATTGTTAAGCGCTCACGCGCGAGAACGATAGATCCTGGGTTCGAATCCCACGTGGGGTGGGGGTAGGATCGTGAATGCACACTATCGAAGAGTTCCATACTAGA